TATATATATAGGCCACTTCATGGTCTATATTTTGTACAGCAAAACCGCACTACAGCATTTTTATTAAAGTTCATCCTCCTCCTCCTCCTCCTCATGCCCCTTAGTCCTTGGACCTTTGGGCGCCACAGATGACATGTGGACTATCCTCCTCCATTCCTCTCTGTCTTCAGTACTACGCACTGCATTGCCCAGTGTTTGCTCTGTCCACTCTTTGCTGTTATCCTCCCATCTTTTTCTTTGTCTTCCTCTTCTTCTCCCCCCTCTTGTGGTGCCCTGCAATATTTCTTTGGCAAGCCCTTGTTTCCTTGTTACGTGGCCCTACCATTGTAGTTGGCGTTTTTTCACAGTCACCAGTAGGTCATCGTACTCCCCAATTGCCCGACGAACCCTTTTTTTCACTGTATCATTGGAGATATGGTCCCTATATAGCAGATGCCAAAAATGCTTCTGAAGCATCTCATCTCCATCGCCTTTATTTTCCTTTCAAGATCGGCTGTTAATGTCCAGGATTCACAAGGATACAGGAAAATGGAGAGGACTAATGAGCACATCAGCCTGATTTTGGTGCTGGGGGCTATACTTTTGTCATTCCATATTCTCATGAGCCTCTTTAGTGCTGTTGTAGTCTGCGCAAACCTGGACATCAGTTCGGGCTTGGAGCCTTCTTCTGAGACTATTGCTCCTAGGTATTTGAAGTGGCCGACAGTCTCTAATATTTTTCTCCCCGACCTTAATTTCATTGTTGATGCCTGTGGTGTTATTTGTCATGAGTTTTGTCTTTTCGGCACTGAATAGCATGCCGTAGGACAACGAGGTCTTGTCGAGACGCTTTACCAGGTTGGCTAGCTCTTCTTCGTTCCCAGCCACTCCGTCCATCTCGTCCGCAAAACGTAGGTTGGTGATTGTTCTGCCACCAATGCTGACTGTCCCTTCATGTGATGCAAGTTAAAGAGTCACAAGAAAAGAGAGAACGGTTTCAAGTATATTATCTCATTTCCGGTTCCCAAATGATACATGTTCCTCACATGTAATCAACACATTTTGTTGGACAGGAAACTGCAAAGTACGCCTACTTCGCTGTTGCACACTAGATTCATCCCAATGTGAAAAAATATAATTTCTTTTGTGTTATGTAGCGCCACATGAAAACCAGTATGAAATTGTGGAAATATTTGTACAGTTGGTCGACACAACCCATAAAACAAGATATGACATAGTACATATGATAGTAGAAACGTTGAAAGTACATGGCATTCCAATGTCAGATTGTCATGCACAGGGATATGACAATCCAGCCAACATGGCATAAAAATATAAAGGTGCACAAGAAATAATACTTGAGCAATGTGAAACAGCTTTATTTTCACCTCGTGGATGCCACACACTTCATTTATGTGGAGCTGATGTGCCGCAGAAGGCATTACTGAAGCCATTGTATCCTTTGGAATTGTACAAACTGTTTACAACTTGCTTAGATTTAGTCCACAGCCATTTGAAAAGTTGCAAAAGTTTATTGGCTGTCCTCTTTGGGGCATGTTTAACACACAGGGTCAGACCGTGTTGAAAGTATAGTAAAGCCCTTTGTAGCCCACCTCCCAGGCATCAAATGAGCATTAGAAAACCGGCCAAATCAAGAATAAAGATAAATGGAGCTTTAGTTAGCTAATATCAAATCCTTCATTTGTGTCATAACGTATTTTGTATGTTACAGGGTTAGTTCCAATTGATATCTGTAACAAGATTATTTAGTCTAGAAATGAAATTTTGGATGACGAAGTATCCAAATTAAAAAGCTTGATTTCAGAACTAGCAAAAAACTTCAGAATAACTAAAAAATTATTTTGACAAAATTTCAGCTTGACCAAACTTCCGTCGACCAAATTTATTTCGAATAAATTTCCATTACCGAAAATAATGGGTTTCAGATTTGCGGGGGATGTCGGATGGGGGTGGAAAAATGATTTACCAATAAATGATAAGTAGCCGGCCCAATACTGCAACGGCTAATAAAAAAAAAAGTAGTTTCTAAACATTTTTTTCCCCCAAAATTTCCCCTGACTCTATCTGACACACACACGCACCAACTTTCTGTGAAACAAACTATGTTTTCTAAACAGAGAACACATCAATTTTAATAAAGAGGAAACAATTTTTTATTTTATATTTCAGTCATAAAAAAAGTAGTATTATTAGGCACACTTGAAATATCAAAGTTTATTTTTTTTGCAAGTGGGGCCTAGATCTATATTAAATTAATAAAAAAAAACAATAAAAAAACAAACAAAAAACAAACAAAATAGTGCATTTCTCAACCGTGTGAAATACATTTTAAATATATTCAAAAGAATTTGAGCGCTAATTGCACTCACTTAGTTGACTTTGTTAAAAAAGGCAAAGAGTTTAATATAAAATAATTTGCTGCTAGCTAAGCGTTTTAATATTTTTTAATCTTCATATGTCATAGTCTTATCATTTTACCTCTTTTATATAACAATTATATGCCTTTAGCTGATAATTTCTGGCGATTGAAAAATTAATCTTGAAAGATATTCGATTTATTAATTCTGAAAATTACGATTTACAAGTATCAATGTACTGTAAAACCGGAAGTAGCACGGTTTTCCTATGAATATTACATTTTTTTCTAATAGCTGATTTGAGTTGCTTACCCCTATTTGCAAGTCATTCTGGCGAAAACACAGTACTCACATATAACAATCTTGACCAAAGAAAGGAAACATGGCTCAACTTGGTCAACCGTTATCAGATTATCAAAGGCCTCATCAAGTGCATTTTAGTCCATATGATTTCAATGGAGGGTAAGTTAAATTTGGTATATGGTCGAACGCCTTCCAACGGTAGCCGATGCTTATACTATTACTATACTATACTATATATTATATACACAATAGTAGGGGTGTGCCGGATCCGTTTTTTCCATCCGGATCCGGATTTTCTGATGCGAAATCCGCCGGATCCGGATTCCGGAATAATCCGGATTCCGGAATAATCCGGATTCCGGTTTCTCCCGGATTCCGGATTTTGGTACTATTGGTAGATACTTCGGTAAGTCAAGGTGGACTACTATTTTTTGTGTATGGGAATTCGCAATCGGCGCCAAAAAATCCGAGTTTTTAATTTTCCGATGTGTGTGTCTATTTATTATTAAATTAGTACTTTCGATATATATTTGAGTTCCGTTCCATTTGGATAAGTGTCTTACGAGAGACGCCATGTTTCTACGCGTTCGCAGCAGGTCATGCAGCTCGCTCAACCTAATTTCGCCATGGGGTTGGCCACGCCCCCCTTTTTAATGGCGGAAGTTGACGATACTTAGGAAATATTAATTTATTATCACTATTTACATCAAAATAATTGATAACTTGTGTTTCAGAATGCATTTAAAGACATTTAAACTGGAATGTTTTAATTTGAGCTTTAACAACCCGGTAGAATCCATATTATAAATGATCAGAATTTACCGTGTGCAACACGTTGTCATTGGCAACCATTCACAGCCACTTGCATAACTGTATCGTAGTACTACCTCAGAGTTTCATTCATAAGAGTTTGCCGTGTGCAAAAACTATTAAACCATTGGTCAGGGAAAGCTTTAATTAATTATTCATGTGCCAAAGTCTAAACAGTATTTTAGTGATAAGGCAGGGAATACGTTGCCTTATATAAACTATATAGTCATTGCGCATGACGGGATTGGCGGAATGAGATCACAGAATGTGGAGATGCAGTCCATGTTAAAAAATGACAAACCAAGTCGTACTTTAAAAATTCATAACTTTAAAACTACAACAGCTAAAAATATGATTTTGGTGTTATAATTCTTTAAAAAATTACATCTTTTCAACTATGTCATTGGTTTATTTTTACAAAAAGTTTAAATTTTCTTATCAAAGTCCCTACACTATTGGCCACTATTAGCGGTGCTGACTCTAGCCTCTGGTATGTACGGAATATTAAACATTAAACAAGCTCAACGCTCAAAACAATCGATTAATGTATCGTGATCGTGTGGAATTCGGGAAAGAGAATTACTTTTATTTCAGATTATGATCCGGTGAGTCACAAAATCTGGCAAATTCCGAAATCCGGTATATTCCGGAATCCGGTTGTTCGGATACATGTAAATCCGGCGGAACCGGATTTCACCGGATAGTGCAAAATCCGGCGGAACCGGATTCCGGACCGGACTCCGGCACACCCCTACACAATAGTCTCAATAGTGGCATTCGTCCTGGTAAATTTACCAACTATTGTCTATAGTGTAGGCTACTGTAGGCATAGTATTACACTATTGACTATTGTTATATTATTATTATGCTATGTCTAGCGCCGCTATATTGACACTCGCTTGTCTCACTTGGTATGGACTGACATAATCACTCAGTTTTGGTGTTTAAAAATCTATAAAATTAACAGGTCACTGTCTCATTTTCGTAATTGTAATGATTGTGGGGATGCTCATATTGTTGCTTTGTGTCTGTGTGTTTTCTTTATCTCACTAGACACAGCAACAGTAACATTAACATAGTCGCTTTATTGACAATTTTAGTCAATCCTCGCTTTTGTTTTCATCAGTGCTGTCAATTATTTCATTCTGCAAACAACTGCGAGTTCAGAAACGGAGAATGCATTCTCGACAATTCTGCACAGCAACATTAGATTTCAAAATATTTTGTAGGCTGTTAAAACATATTTTTAGGAGGCACAAAGCAGCTGTATGAATTTTAATACCCCCATTTACAGCCTGTGATAGTTTTCAGACTAAAATATATTAGGGGGAAATAGGCTTAAACCTCAAATTAAAATATTCTTGTTTAAATGCATTCTAAGTTCATTCTAAACTCACACAAGTTATCAAATATTCTAATTTGGATAGTGGTAATAATTGAATATTTCCTAAGTATCAACATCTTCCAACATTAAAAGTGGGAGGGGCATGGGCTGAGTGACCTTATGATAATGCTGGTTGCCTGGAATAGCATAGTGAACGTGGGACAAGACCTACATGAATGAAAATCTGCTTACATATACGTCCATATATAATGCTGTTTGATGAGAAAGACATTGTCTTTTAATTTCTTTAAAAAATTTTGATGGAAAGATACCTTATATATACCTAGGAATTTCTAAAACAGTACAAATAGATTGTTTTCCAAGATGTCCCCTATTGTGAACATGTGGAAAGATACCAAAATTTATTACAAAATGGTCCTTTCATTAATGAAAAAAGACCAACGTCCAGAAATGTAAAACTATGATTAACTTGCGCTGATGCCCATTTCCAATACACATTTTGAAATAGTTTTCCTTGCTTTACCAAAGTACCTACTAGCTTTAGTAATTTTTTAGCTATTAATTTTTGAAGTTTGTAATTTTTTTACTATTGACTGCACCTTTACATTTTGTGACCCAATACCGCTGATTGTGTCACATGCTTTAACACTTGTTTTAAAGATACATTTATACATTTTTTTATTTTCAGGATTAAAGCTATTTTAAAAAGTAATAATTTTATGCATTTATCTAGCTTTATACTATGTAAATTAAATATGTACGATATGGCTTTACTGTTTATGTAGTCTAAGTCTAAGATGTCATTTATTTATAAATGTCTATAAAAAATATACAGATTACTTATTTTGAACTTTTAAATTTGCACATGACTAATTAATTAAAGCTTTCCATGACCAATGGTTTAATAGTGTTTGCACACACTATCTCATATGAATGAAACGCTGATAATATATATTGCATATAGTCATATGCAGTGACTGAATGGTGCCCATGACCGGCAAAAAATGCACACAGTAAATAATAATTAATAACTTGTACTCTACCAGGATTTTAAACCTCAAGTTAAAATAATAATGCTTAAATGCCTTATAAGCTTATTCTACAACACAAGGTATCAAATATTTTGATGTAAATAGTGGTATTAATTGAACATATCTTAAGTATCCCATCTTCTGCCATTAAAAAGGGGGTCGTGGTCACATCCAAGCAAAGTTTGGCAGAGCAACCTACATAGTATACTGCTCAAACGTAAAACCATGACGTCTCTCATAAAACACATATGAAAGTTGGCACACATGTAGATCAACATATACCTGAGGGTTATAATAAAAAATGAAAAAGACATATATTGAACTTAATCTTAATTATGAAACATGCCTTATATTAACTAATAAGGATTTTCTCAAAGTTGACTGATTATAAATGAAAAAGAAATGCCGCGTAAAGCGAAAGGATGGATACGAAATACAATTGTGGGACAAGATAATTATTTTATGAATGAAATAGCACTATCATCAAAAAATTAAAACTTGGATTTTCCTGCGCTGACATCCATTTCCCATACAATTTTTTAAGTAATCTCCCAGCTTTACTTAATGAATTATATGAATTTATTAAAATGTCCTTACATAATAACTTGTCCATAACTGACGCAAGGAGGAAGAGACATAGCCGCAGCATGTGCCTTGCATATCCTGTGGCTGCAGAGGCCCAAAGGTTGTGATTTGAAAAAAATATAAACTGTTATTTTTAATGCAAGAGGCACAAAACAAGTCATGTGATAGCTCTGTCAGAAGGTTGTCTGCTGACTCAAGTGTCTCAGAGATTTAGGAAAATTCTGATAATGCTTGTCTTTTGTTTTGATTTTTTCCAAACAAGATAGGCCTAGGCCTAACCAAATTGAATTATTTTTTAGTTTAGCCTGTCGCTATGTAAACCACAGCAGTAAACCAAACACACCAAAGGTTGCTTTTACCGCTCGAGTAAATGATTTGACATTTTGATTTTGGACAAGTAAATACAGTAGTCTTATCTCATGAATGTTAAAATTGAAGAAATGAGTTTATTTACCTGTGTGTGACTTATTCTGCATTTAATTAAATTAGTTTACAGTTGAATTCAATAAACTAATTAGACCTCGCTATATTGGCATAGGCCTAATACTTTTTAGGATAAAATCAATCAATCAATCAAACAAAAATAAGATTAACTAAAAGACAAACAGCACCTGAGTATAGAAAATAACTCAAGCCAAAGAATGCGCTTGTGCCAGTTGTAATGATATCTTAAATCCAACACTATATTCTCATTAGCGTTAGGCTCATTACTTGCTGCTTGCTATCTCAAAAGGTGGTCAAAGCTTCAGATACATTTACTGTTACAAAAATGCAGGCGTTAGCATATTAAGTTTACCGGGGTTTTAAACTTTACATCTTTTTATTTTTATCATATTTGGTGAGCATTTAAAAATATTTAAATTGTTATAATTATAAGTCGTTTAGGCATTATTAACCAAAGAAGGTATTCACCATTGAGATGCTGTGTTGTTGCAGATGTGTTAGTTTTAAAGTTAGAAATACAAACCAATGTATGTCCTAATAGCACACCGAAACCAGACTAACACACACAAGAACTCTAGTAAAGAAGTCTACTGGGAGCAAAATCAATATCAGTGAAGGGCAATAAAAATTATTTTTGAAGTTAAGAGCAAATTGGTGTCACTTTTTCGATTCAGAAATTAAGAGTCACCAGCATTGATGCTCATGATGCTGTGTGACATACACAGACCTGTTTACTCTTACGATTTTGGCGTACAATGTACAATTTTGAGGTGTATACATTATATATACTGTATGTTTATTTTTTTACTTTTATGATAATGTATTGAACAATTTTGTGATGATATTTTACGATTTTAAGAGTTTGAGGGTAAACAGGTCTGCATACAATTTTATTAAATTAAATTTTATTTTACATTATTATTACTCTAAATAACTTTATAACTTTTAGATCTAAACCAGTGATGGCGTACATTCTAGAGACCGATTGCCCAAATTGCTTCCCAAAACCCATTTATTTATCACAAAGTACCAATACTACAATTAAACTTGAATCCTGTGGATTTAGTTTCGAAGAAAAACAACAAACACATAAATTAACATCTTTTGTCTATAAAGAAAAGCACAATAACAGAGACGTCAATAATACATATAGCTTTTTAGTAAAAGCTTTCCCTTGAGTGTCCTGTTAGCCAATGCTTGGCTGCATGGTTGCCATAGGGTTGCCATCATCGTTTTAAACTAAGATAAATAATAACAATTTTGAAAAGCTTTTTGCCTTCAACGAGAACTTTCAGCATTTAAAATAAATGATTTATTCACTAACGCTGCAACAAAATGTTCAATGTCTTTAAATTGACGTGTGTCTTGAACTGTCTTTTCCCAGCACTGTTCTGGCTATTGCTGGTGAAAATTATGCCCTCATTGCCACTGATACTCGGTTGAGCCAGGGATTTTCTATTCATTCAAGAGAAAGTCCAAAAACTTACTCACTGTAAGTACAATTGTATGCATTGCTTAAAACCATTAGTGTGAAGATGATCTCATAAACCAGTGCTTTTAGGTGGTGAAATATTTTAAAAAAAAAAATAATAATACCACAAATCTTTTTTTGAAAATGTTATGTTATTGGCCTCGCTCCATTTAATGGCTGCTTAAATGTCCATATTTTAGCTCAGAAAATACAGTCTTGGGCTGCTGTGGATTCCATGGAGATGTTTTAACCCTCACAAAGACCCTTGGGGCTAGACTACAGGTGAGTGCATGTCATTCTTCGGTCACCCTATCAAATGAGACATAAAATCTGAGTAAATCCTTTGTATTTGATTCTATTTCAATTTTTTCAAGTGTTTGTCTTAACTAATCACAAAGCGCAGTGAAAATGAGTTACAGCTTTCTAAATGTCATTGTTTGTTGACTTCTCCCATCCTAGATCTTTGAGAAAGAACACAACAAGCCTATGCCAACTCCCTCAGTAGCTGCGATGCTCTCAACAATACTTTACTACAGGCGTTTCTTTCCCTACTATACCCACAATCTAGTGGCTGGACTGGATGAAGAAGGTAATATACCAAACAATAATTTTTAAATTTTTTGTGTTCATAACAAGAAGATTATTATCTAAGAAAAATTACAGACATGTTTTTCTCTAAACTCTCCTGTAAAAATTATTTCCTGTTTATTTAATACCCAGTACCATTATTTAAGCATTGTGTTTAAGCTTAGATAATAACCATTACATCAGCATTGTGTTTGAGCTTAGCTTTTAGATTACACCCAACCCACCTATTTACTTACATATCTGATTAAAGGGGGAAAAATGAAAACCAAGAATAGAAAACTTCATATATAATTTTGTTAAATTTGAATAGTTTATCAATTAAAACTCTATTGTTACTTTAAAACCAGCAAATACAATAAACAAAATTGCTAATGTTACGTGATAGTGCAGTTTCATTTATTTGCGCCCTGGCCCCTGACCTTGTCGCCAGTCCACATTACAGTGAAGAGTGACAAACTGCTTGATAAACGCAGTGTATGACCAGCGTCCCAGTGGCTGACCAGGTCCTAGGCCAAGCCTGAACTGAAATAATAATTCTTGTTTATGGTGTTGGCAGCTGACCTTGCGTTGGATCAAGGCAGGGGCTTAATAAGCGGGTCACTAAGGCTACATCAACTCCTATATATATATATATATATATATATATATATATATATATATATATCGGGTACATTCTTTTAGTAAGAGGAAATACTCTAAGGACCAAGATAAGCCCAACAATGCGAGATTAGCTTAGTACTAGATAGGACGCTTGACTAGCCAGCAGAAATAATAGTCAAATTTCAATTGCTTATTAAAAGTCACATTTAGTCCAGGAACGTAGGATTTTTTAGTACTCTTTATATTACTGTGAAATTGAGACATTTTTAGTGTTAATTTATTTAAGTGTTTTACATTTTCTATATCTTTATTCATATTTTATTCTATGTAATAAAGTTCAATTACATTAGAGCACTGATTCTCTTCTCTTAAGTCCTTTTAATGATTCCCTAGACCAGGGATTGGGAATATGCTTTTTTCTATCTTTCTCACATAGGTCTTGGACACTATTAGTTACTAAATCAAAATTTAATATTTGGTTCTTTGCCATTAAAAGGATCCCAACCCCTCCATTCATTAGTATTGGGCACTCAGCTATCAAGTGCACTACTGTCTCCGGCCCCTGTCTGCAATAACAGCAACTCGGGTCCCAAAGAGGATGCAACCTATTAATTAAGCTTTGAGTAGGACAGTGTTCTGTCCCATCTGGGCTATGATGTTCTTTTGTTTGCATTTTAGTTTCCATCACTCATCCCCTTTCCTGTTTAGGTGTAGCGTGTTCTGGAAAAGTTTAAGAGCTGTGTCCCACCTTTTCCTAGTTTTTTAACCATTCCTCTCAAAAAAGGTCTTTTTAGCTTTGACCCCCCAGCTGCATCATTAGTTGATCTGGTTGTAGCTGGGCAGACCCTTGCCTACACTAGCAAGTTAGCTCCCTGCATTTCCAGGGATCAACTCCTTAGAATGCAGCTAAATACCACATAGGCGTGATTCCAGAAAAGCAACTGGGTGCTAACTGAACTAGCAGAAGTACGAAACCAAGATCGAAGCCACGCTGACTGTGGTCCAAGTCCAAATACCAGAAGTCATAAAGGTGGAGTATGAAGTCTTCATTGCCAGAATTCTTGAAGTCACCAGGAGAGTCATACCGAGAAAAAATTGAAAATAAACATTCAGACCATACTGGTAAAAAAACCTCTGGATAGTAAATGTGAGGTTGGAAATCTAAGGCGTATTGATTTGTTGTCACTACCTACCTCCTTTAGACAATCAGACTTTGCTTGGGCTCAAGGTCAGATGAAATTAGCATCAGATCTGGCCGGGACTCTGTACTATGTCCCATATGGAGAAGTGTGGTTTGTAGAAAAATATCCTCCACGTAACAATCTGATTCTAAATAGCCCTAGTCAGGTGATTTGGCATTGAAGTCACTGGTTATTCTGGTCTTCTCAAAGACCACATTGTCCCCCATAGGTAGGGTTATTGGATTACTGGAAATAGCAGAACAATTTAAAGAAGAACATTTCCCTTCTTTCTATTTCAAGCTTCCACATACCTGGTTCTATTTCCTTCACACAGCTTGGCTCTTTTAAGTATTTGTAATTGTAAAACTTCTATTATGCTTAAAAACTCCTTATTTTGCTGTGCTGTTATGTTAGTTCACCTCTACAATCTCCATGGGGACTGCTGTGGTCATGCCTTTACACTGCCCACATTTACTATGGTAAACCCTCCTGGAGGAGGGCGACCTTTGGCGCCATGCCCAGTTGCTTTTTTTGCCTTGTACCAACCTGTCCCCCAATGTGGGCATGAGAGGGGATCAGCTTCCCAACCCAGGAGCAGTGTCCATATCCCCTGATACTAATGTAAAACACAGTGACTGAGATGCCAGCTCCACATCAGAAAGTCTCATTTTACTTGCCATTGTGCAACAGAGTGAACAGTTTGCTTCTTCCCCTTAGGGCTCAGGTTTTGCATCATCTGAGCCCCTCGTTCAAGGAGTCTTTCAGTCTTCAGCGGGACACACCAGGTTCTTTTGCTTCAGTTTGTGACCAACTTCTCCGAGCCTTACTATTATTATTATTATAAGTGGTTTTATATAGTGTGGTAACCCATTGGGCTCACCACGCTGTACATAAAATTTAACAAACATAATAAAAAAACTAGTCTGGTAGCACCACACAGGGGGCAGAACCTTTGCAAAACTGTAAACTGAATCATCTACAAAAGCTTATAAATTTAACTTTTCGTATTCCTCCTGCAGGCAAAGGATGTGTGTACAGTTTTGATCCTGTTGGATCTTATGAGAGGGAAGTTTATAGGGCTAAGGGCTCTGCATCTGCCATGCTGCAGCCTCTTTTGGATAACCAGGTCAGAAAAAAAATAAATATAATTTCAATTTCTAACCCATCCTTATTCTCATGCATGTATATATAAAATTAATCTATTATTATATGTACCATAACCAATAAACTATTGTTAAATTCTATGATGCTTTGAATTGATTCTGTTTTGTTTGTATTAATTACCCTACAGATTGGTGGTAAAAATCAACAAGGTTACGTAGTACAGCCCATGCCCCTAGACAGATGCATTGCTGTGGTGAAAGATGTTTTCACATCAGCAGCTGAAAGAGACATCTACACTGGTGACAACATTCTCATCTCTGTCATTACTAAAGATGGGCTCAAGTCAGAAAAGTTTCCACTGCGTAAAGATTAGATATGTCTTGTTATTTTCATCTTTCATTGGTAAATTGTTTTTTTTGTTTTGCTTCAAATATAATTAAGTACCTAAGTATATTTAATTTTAATTGAAACTCGCCGAATTCTTTTTACAGGCACAACATCAAGTTGTTGTAAATATGAGGTGTTGATCATATAAAGTGCAAATCATTTATGTTAATTAAGTTGAAAAATTAAATTGCTTAGGACTTATTAAAGATTTTGGAAAGTGAATATGTGTTTGAATGTCTTAAAATGTCTTTACTGAAATAAATTTGAATTTTTGACCATTTTGAATGTTTTTTCTTCTGCTTTTTAAGATTTGTATTGTATTCTTTTCTTTACTCTAAAAATGTGGTTTAAAAAAAATTGGTTTCACATTTAAAGCTTAGTAGTAGCACAGTGTTTTTTAAAAGTTTTTTATCAGCTGCTAAACGTTAGTAAGAAAAACATATTTTCATTATCGAATAAGTAAAGACATTAATTGCTAACATAATTGCTTTGAAAACCCTGGCACTTTGGACCTAATATCATGTCAAAAAATAAATGAAATAAATAAATTAATTAAAATATTAATCATCACTCTTTGTTAAGAAAAAAAATAGAACAAGTATTAGTGATAATAATTACACTACTGGTAACAGTAATTGACATGGTAAATTATCTGAATAAGTATTTAATTAATTTTATAGTTAAATAAAAATGTAACTAGTGATAGGTAGCTAAAATATTTGCCTCCTAATATATGAGATTTAAACTAAGGCTGTTGCAGAAGAAGAGAATATTTAATTTTTAAAAATGGTTTGAAGGTGATATTGAGTGACAAAAAAATACAGATATTTAACATTTTTCCAATCTTCATTTTTAATGAGTAAATAGCGAGATGTGTTTAAAAAAAAAACAAAAAAACATTGTTAATCACAAAAAAATGAGGAGTGACATCAAATTTACATGCAATAATTTAGTTTTCAGTAATATTTATTTCTTTTTCCTCTTTCCTTTCTTCTTTCCTTTCTTCTTTCCTTTTTTCCCTTTCTTTTTCCCTTTACCACCTTTTCCTTTCTTGCCCTTTTTCTTGGTGTCTTTTGGTTTATTACCTTCTGGAATTGCATACCCTGGAATATCTGGAACTTTAGATTCGTTTTCGATTTCAGGCATTTGTCCAAGCATGGCACATTTCAGAACTTCTCTAGTTTTTGAATTGTACTTGCAGTGGTCAATGGGTTTGAGTTTATTGCAGTTTTCTACATTAAGATATGCTCCACCTAAAATAAGCTGCTTGGCTGCTTCAGTGTGATGATCTGGTGGTGTCAAATGGTTTATTGAAATTATATTAAAAAATGATTAAATAAATTATTGTCTTATATATTTCTAAAAATAACATAACAGCTACCAGTAAGGCCTTCAGTAAATTTACTGTAATATTAAAATATGTTTGAGTGCTATGCAAACTAAAAACTATTTTGAATTGAAATTTGAATCAGTCAGTGTATTAAGTTTTAATACTAAAACCTCGTAAAATAAATTTTTAAAATTAATAATTTATATTTGAAATTGTCTTACTTCTGGCAGCGGCATGCAACGGTGTGACATTAGCTCCAACCATCTGATTGACATCAGCTCCTGCCTCCAAAAGTAACTTGACAATTTCAGATTCACCTTCTATAAGACAAGATGGCTCTTAATTTCTTTGATTAGGAACCACTGATTAAATTAAATTTAAATAATGGGTTTAACAGTCACGTTTATTATTGTAATTGTTTTTAAAGCATTAAAATAAAGTCATGGAAACATACAATTTTAATATTAAAATTGAAAACTACAAGGATAATTGAGTCTTAGAATCAGAAGGAATATTAAAGTACCAAGCGAAAATATTAATTTTATGAGCTAAGATATTCAGCTCTTTTCTATAAAAAAAAATAATTAATGAAGTTGATTATATAGAGGCACATTTGACCTTTGGTTCTTACCATTACTAGCAACGCTAAGGGCAGTTCTTCCATAATCATCTAATTTATCTGTTGATATTTTCTTTCGTAGTAGTTTTCTTAGAGTTGAAATATCGCCTGAACCAGCGGATGCCACCAACCTGTGTTCAAAATAGTTATTTGTGAATATAGTTGATCTATTGGATGACCCCATTTTGTTCTATTCTATTCCATTCGCCGATATTGTTGTTTGAGACATCTGCATTGGATCAGTGACACTCGTCAGTGATCCCAAATTGGAACATTTGCGTTTGGAATGAAAACCGGAAGTTCAACTTTGCTGTTATCATTACCTAGCAACACTAATCACCAAGTTAATGAAAATAAAATAATATTAAAATGTTGCCTCAAAATAAAAAAAAGTGAAAATTTTATTGAAGCTTGTCTTTAAAACCTAAAAATAAATAAGTGGATGTGAACTCCAATAGATATAGCCCAACGATGCGAAACAAACATAATACCAACATAGCATTTTTAAAAGAAATATAGTTACATTGACTCTTGCACTGAAGATGTCTTATTCAGGGCTACCACACCTTGGGAAATTTCCCAAGGTCTTGGGAATTCACGACCCCCCTTGGGATCTGGGGAATAATTTTGAAAACGAAGTGGTTATACGCAGTCGACTGCGTATAACCCTGAGAGTTATCCGCAGCCGGCTGCGCATAACCCCCAGGGTTATACGCAGTCGGCTGGTCACGTGAGGTCTATATTCGGCGATTACTGAATTATGACGATTACTTCCTCCCGCTTGGCGTCGCTTTGTATTACGATTACTTCGTCCCGCTTCGCGTCGCTTTGTAGCCATTACTATTAACAATGTCGATACAGAAAGATGCCATGTTTACCACCTACAATGAATTTTACGTCGCGCTAAAGAGGCATGAAGAAGAGTGTGGCGTGCTGTATGTAACGTACAGCTCAAAGAAAGTAAGAATTTTTTTTTTATATTTTAAATATAGTGATAGTGCTTAAATTATTAACCTGACATAAACACAAATTTTCAAATACATCTGACATACATTTACATAAAGATAAAGATTATATCATTGGAAAGGGCTGGCTCTAAGCTTTCCAGCGACACCAAGATAATCTTTCTATCACTTAAAGGAGAAAAGTTATGAATTTTTTAGTGATTTATTTTCCCCCAAATTAAAATATAGAGCAAAAAAATTTGTGCAATTTTAGAAAAAATAATTCATGAAAAGCAACCGCGGCCAATATTTTTTTTACATTTAAATACATAACTTTTAAACTATTGAAGCTACTGCAATCAAACTTTCAGTATAAATAGTTTGTGACAATCCAAATGTAACAGAATATTTAAATATTGCAAAAGCCAAAAAATCATGCTATAAAAAAATTTAAAAATATCACAGAAATGTACCACACAAACCCCACTGTTTTTTTTTGCCCGCGTCCTCCGGTATTGGTATGCCTAGTATAGACATAAAACAGTTGGATCTATGTAGAAATAGATGTGCTGCAGAACCCGGTTTGCCATTACAAGATAAATATATGAATCCCATAAATATAATATTGTTTCATGGTAGCTCCATGGAGTAATTATCTGTGTCTTGATATTGACATCATATTCATTTTCTTTCAGTTGAGAAAAGAGTCACAACTTGTTGATTTTGCTATTTATTAAGCAATGAGAATAAAATTTTTCAAATATTTTGAAAAACAAAAATATGGTCAATGGTTAACCAGGGGAACCTCCATGACCTTAGTACAGTGGAAGACATCGTCGGCCCTGCACGAACTGCCTTTCAGCCCTAATGTGATAATGAAAAAGACAATCAGTGTTGTTCAGGCTTTCTCCTTTTTTGTGTTTCAGAACATTCAAGACTGCTTGCCCTGCATTTTTAAGGTTAAATCTGGTGGAAGATGGGGCTGTGTATAAGTTAAAATTGACCACCTGCAACCTGGAGCACGAAAACCATCCTACTGGACCAGAGGTATTTATCAATTTTTTTTTAAATCCATTTATTTTGCCATAAGTCCAATTGTTTTAACATTTTACTACCGTTCTCTTTCACTACTGCATACTGCACAGTTTGTGATAAATGTGCAACATCATATACAATTGTTCAGTTACCATTATTCTGTTGTTTTTGGTTTTATTCGGTTTCAATATGAAAATTGTGGACTATATATAGTTTATATATTATTTTATTTTCCTTATATAAACTACTACTAAGCATGTGTTGGGCACAAGTATTTTTATCTAGCATAGAAACACATGCCTTAGGTCTTCGACATTGTCACGAGATTAGAAAAGTAATTATTGTCATTTTTATTGTAATACCGGTACATGATTAGCAATTTAAAAGTTAGGGAAAGTATGTCACTTTTATTTCTTGTTGTGGGTTACATGTGGCTTTTCTCCAATAATGAAGTTGCATAATATGTTACCGAAAGCAATTTTTAAAGGAACAGTAATGGATTAAAAAAATTTTCTCTCCAGTTTTCAAGATTATATCCAGAAAACAGAATGCCTCAAATCACAGAGCACCTGGTGGATGTGCTAAACATCAGATCTGCATCAACCAAAGAGGTTCAAGAATTGGTTGCCAAAAAGGAGGGGAAAATGTTGATGACCCAAGACATTAAAAATTTGAGAAATAAATACTGTAATTATGCAGGAGGTGAAGAGGCAGAAAATGTCGATAAAGTGTTGCGAAAGGTGCAGGCTGAGGGCGGTGTCATTAAATATGGAACCAGTGAGAGTGGAGATTTTAAATTTCTATCATTCATAACAGCAAATATGCTTGATTCCCTCAATCAATTTCCTGAAATACTTATTATGGATGTCACGTACAAAGTGAATAAACAAAACTACCCCCTCCTCAACATCCTAGTTGTCGATAGTAATGGCCAAGGCAGACCAGTGTTTCATTCTTTTCTTGCGTCGGAAGACTCCACTATCCTATCTTCTTGTCTTTTGTTTTTTGCAAGTTCCTTTGATTCTCAGCGCACCAAAACCATATTTGTTGACAAGGACATGGCAGAAATCTGTGCCATCAAATCATCACTTCCGTTTGTTAATATTCGACTTTGTGCTTTCCACACGACGACTGCCGTTAAGAAGGCTTTACAACAGAAAAAGCTGTCCTCTTCTCAAATATCTTGTCTCATTGATCTGTTCATAGAACAGAGATCCTGCATGGACATGTCAAAATACAATGCCCTCAAAGACAAGATTTCTGAAATCTCACCTCCTGATGTTTTATCCTACTTTGTTTGTAACTGGTGGAACTGTCCCCAACTCTGGGCTGCTTCTTTCCTGGAGTCTCCAACATTTCACATAACAACGACAAATCATGCCGAAACATTCCATCAGAAAATTAAGAGAGTTCTGTCCACGAAAACTCCACTGAGCATCTCCATCACCGAACTCCTCAGTGTTACAAAATACACAATGCAATCCAGAGATGCATCTGCTTCCATACAGGCAATGTCATTGAAGTACAATACAAGGCATAATTCTGACACTATTAATACCATACAGAATGACCTCACTCCTTTTGCAGCCAAACTTGTTTCAGAACAGTTTATTCTCTCTCAACATACTCATTATGTCGCTCAGTGTTCTTTAAATTTGCCTGAAACATACATTCTGTCCTCTTCAACTTCTGGCTCATCTCAATACAACTGTACCATTAACTCCTGTTCTTGCGACTTCTTTATAAAATTCTGTTTGCCTTGTCGACACATTTTTGCTCTTAGGTCTGAACTGTGTCTACCTCTCTATCACTGTGGTAATGAACGCTTTAAAAGCTCTTCTGCTGTCTGTCCATCTCTTAGCTCCAATGATCACCATAACATAACGCATGAAGTATTGCCCACAAGAAAAGCCAGCAATCCTGAATCTCGTTACCACATAACAAAAGGAATCACAAAGGCTATTGAGTCTTTCTTACCTCTGTTGGGAGAACAGGCTTTCCAATCTGCTGTATCTCACCTTGAAAGAGTTTTAACTCTAATTAAAGCTGACCGACCTGTAGCGGTCATTGATCTTTCGCAAGGAGATATAACTCAGCCTCAAACTGAAAACCTTCATGCAGGTGTCACTGCATCTTCACCACCACCCTCTGTCTCTTCTGATAGTATTGATGTTGTTGTCCTGCCATCTGTATCTTCACCACCACCCTCTGTCTCTTCTGATACCATTGATGTTGTTGTCCTGCCATCTGTATCTTCACCACCACCCTCTGTCTCTTCTGATAGCCTTGAAGTTGTTGTCCTGCCATCACCCGCTGATTTCTTGGTTCCTTCTTCTTCATCTGCTGGCTCATCCTGTGGATTTTCCAATGTTAAACTGTCCCTTGTGAAAACAAAAGGCAGACCTAGACAGGTACAGTCATTCACTAGACGGTACAGGAAAAGAAAAGCATGTCCCAAGGATTTTCATACTAGATCAGATGAGGTGAAGAAGCAGATGCTTCTATCTGGGTGTCTGTTGGATGCTACCGTTCTCCCACCTTTCTCTGTTTTAAATCTGAAGTCAACAGAAAACATTTTTTCTGTATGTGCCAATGCCAATATTTCTTTGTGTTCTATTCAGCCCTTATTTACTGAAGATGCATGGGAAAAACTTGAGGCCAGAATAGCAGAAAAGAAGGGCAAAGATTTATTTTTTTGCAATTCGTGCTTCATTATGGATGATAGCCAGTATAAAATGATAGAGTGTGAGGGTTGCCTCGAATGGTTTCATTACCATTGTCTTGGCTTGAGGACAGCCTCAAAGCCAAAGAAATGGTATTGCGATGATTGCTGGCAGTGAATGCCTTCATTTTAAATCGTAATACCGGTTGTTTTAAAAAATGCGGGCCTGCACAAATTTTTCAGTAAAAAGTCTGTCATATTCAGGAGATACCAGTATATTGGTTGTTCTCAAGATATCTGCCAAATGATTATCACTCAAACATGAGCGTTTCTTATTAATGTGCCTTAATGAAAATGTCTGTTCACATATATAAATGTTTCAAAAATGTTTATATTACTTTCTGTGTACGGTATTGCAATAGTATAAATGAATATGCATGGAAGTGTTATTAAATTACAAAATTTTAGTTTTGCATGCCTGCTTTAATGTGTTCTCTGATGTTTATTGACGCTTTATAGTCTCATTGTAATCTGTATATTCTGCTGGTTTAAACTTTCATATGATGTATATGAGATATGGGTGTATGTTAATTTTTGTTTCAATGTTTTGCCTTTTTTTACATTGTTAATATTAATATTATTAAGTTTTGTTATTTCACCCATTAATGCTTTTTTTTTTCATGGAATTATGCGTTGACTTCGTTTCTAATTGTCCTTATTATATACGGATCACATACTTTCATGCATGTACTTTTTAAAATGTAAATAAACATTAACTAATTAAATTTGTTATATATATTGATTTTGATCTATTTTGGTTATGTTATATTCACTGCAGAAACTTGTGACTTATTATAATAAATAAGCCTCCCACAGCTAAGAACACAGACAAAAATGCACACATAAATATTCTGTTTGAACTACATATACTTATACTTAATACTTTAAGTTTAACTTAAGTTAACAAAAGACATTTTACACACCAGTATATTGGTTATGGAAATTGTTTGAAAAGTTTTGGAATACTGGAATTGAAATGATTAAAGAATAAGAACAGTGTCACTCAATTGAATCCAATAAGTGAATGTTATTAATATTAATGATCACATCAGATGCGGATAATAAACTAAATATTTTAATGTTACTAGGCCTTTAGACTGATAATATACTTTATTAAAGTATTTTTTAATTATTATTTTTGCCTATCTCCATTTGTTCAATGACTGATGGTAATAGTAATATTTAAAAAGATGGTAAGACTAAGTAAGAGGGAGAGTCTAAAATCAGGTTAGGTAAAAAGGAAACGAAGTAAGAGCAAAACCAGAAGAAAAGGCCACAGCAATCAATGATGTTGGCAAGAAGCCTTCATTGAACAAATAGTAGTAGAATAACACAAAAATTAATACTGCAATTGCAATGTAGTATCAGAGAGGATAGCAATAGCAACATTTGAACTGTCACCAGAGGTCACACACTTGCACAAATAATTCTCTGTTTGGGCTATCCATATATACTTTTACCACTTAGTTAACATAAGATATGTTACACACCAGTATATATTGGTTTGGGAATACGTCAATGATTTCAAGAGTCACTCAATTGAATCCAAATAGAGACTAATTATAATTAATGATCACATCTGATGTAGATAGGCTAGTTATTTAAATGTTACTATGCCTATAGACTAATTATATACTTATTATTCATGCTAGCACTGGCATGTAGTCATGTAGCCCACTTTCCCTTCCTTAGGCTTTGATCATATAAACAGATCACATGCCCTAATTCCTAATGGTTGTCACAACGTAAAATAAATCTTGTTTTTTTTTTTACAGGTACCAAAAAACAAAAATATATGCGTGTTTTCAGATGTTAACTAAAAAAATTAGTTAACAACACAAAAATGGTACAACATATATATTATGATAATTATAAATATAAGTATAAGAATATCATTACATTGGAATGTATTCCCCGAATTAGTAACTAAAACCAACCAAGGCATAATCATCTTGTTAGTCTTAGACTCTATGAAATATAGACTTTGACTTATAATATATAATATACAAGCCATAATACTAATAATAGCACTAATAATTCAATATTACTTAAAATTAATTAAATTTTACGTTAAACTACACATTAAAAGTAATACGGTAGTTCAAAACAACCCATAATGCCGCTAATTACGCATAATACTAAACTAGCGGTAATAAACCTTATTTGGCTATATTCCCAGCCGACTGCGTATAACCCTGAGAGTTATACGCAGTCGGCTGGGAATAACCCTGAGGGTTATGCGCAGCCGGCTGCGGATAACTCTCAGGGTTATACGCAGCCGACTGCGTATAACGCTTCCCTTTCTTTTTTTTAAGTATGCAAGGCCATAAAACCCCAAGGCCCCCAAGCCAGTTAAGGTTAGGCTGATGATTTTTTTACCGTCACTAAAATAGGGGACCTAATAATAGTAGTACGCTAATTCTAAATTGTAGAGTTCTGAATAGTTTCAAAAAAAAAATTAACGTCAACGTCGACATCAACCCTGTCACTTCACTCACACTGTCACTAAACTAGACAAAAGTCACAAAAGTGTGACACTAAAGACAAAGACTATTACTATTTTCATTGGGACTATGCAGCTAATGTAAGTGTCGTGATACGTAACAACAGAAATAATTGTATATTTAAATTCTGAGACTTATAAAAAAATTTACTAACTAGGGCTAAAAATAACAACATAAACATTAGGCCGTTATGTGTGCTCAACTTACCAGTGCCATTTTCGCTTGATGACGTGAAATGAAAAGGAGGAGGAAGTCTCCTTTGTGCCACGTATCCGGCTATTCAATATTACTTCCGGGTCAAAAGCATAGTTTGTTTCTTTTTCTTCATTCTTATTAGTCTGTCTTTACACGACCTACTAGAACTCTTAGTGGGTCATGGTCTTAACATTACATCATGTCATAGTATTTTTAATTTTTCACTGAGTAGTGGCGTAGCCAAACTTTATTTTTACATTTCATTTGTTCTCATAGATTACGCTTACTACCAGCGGTTTTTTTCAATCATCTCTCTCTCAATATGATTATGAAGGTCTATAATTTTAATTACTATTAATACTAATTTCGCTAAGTATCAAACAGGTGCAATCTGTTTTCAAGTTATATTTCATCACATAGACAGAAGCACGAATTTAAAGTAGGGACAGGGAAATTTTACATTGATGATTGATATCATGCTGTTTTTTTTTTTAAAGATAATAACTATATTATAGTTATTATCCAATTATTAGAACATTTTAAATGTACTCGACTTCATACTCCGTGTATGAATTATTGTATATTGAGCTAAAACAAGGGTCTCAAACTCGCGGGCCATTTGAGCCCCGCAAGACGATATTTTGCGGCCCTTTCCCTGACAGCAAAGTTTAGTGTTAATTCGGTTCGGCCCACACGTTTTCCCCATTCTTATATCTATAAAGTATAATGTGACCCTCCGCGACAGTTTCAGTCGAATCTCACCGACTAGTTTAATTCTTATTTGCTTCATGCTTACATATAGTATTATTTTTATGTAGTTTTGGACGTTGATTATAATGGTAAAAAACCGTTTCGAAATCGAACTAAAAGTTTTTATTTTAAGATATTGAAAAAAAATCTACCGGTACTAAGAGAAATTAACAAAGCAAAAATAATAAAAAAAATAATAATAAAACTATGAATCAATGAAATAACAAGGAGAAAAAATATTTTAAAAAATAATTCTCATACTATTATTGTTATCACACTCGGCTCCGAAGCCATTTAATATGTACGGAGCCACTCCGGGTGCGAATAGTTATTAGCAACCATAGGTACCCGGGTACCTATAGATGCAGCCTTATTTTATTCTAGATACATCCAATTGGGCAACTTTTATAACATATCTTTAAGGAAAGAAGAGTTCTCCTCAATGTAACACAATGTCACCGTAAAAGATAAAAGATTCATTAAAATGTAATGTTTTTGTTTTCGTAAAATTTGTTAAATTGTTGGTGTTTTACAACAAAAAGATGTTATTTTACTTTTAAAAATAATTTTAATGAAGTTCCATGAGGTAAAAATGAATTTGAATTTAAAAATTTATTTTTCGAGGAACATTATATTTTAATTTGGGACCGCCGTTCTGAGGAATGCCGTCTATACAGAAGGAAAATATTAACAGACTCCAAAGTAAGAATAGTTTAAATAGCCCTTCCAAACGGAAGGACTGGATTTTTTCTTGGCTGACGCTGAAGTGGTAGATTACCGAAAATTTTATCCAAGTCCAATACCACTTTTGAACTTTTCATTTATTTATTTACCCAATTTAAAATGATGGTGAGGCTATGGCCTAAGCCTAAAGCTATAAACTAAATAGCAATAATAAAACTAGACTAATTTATAGGAACAATGATTTTGAAAATACTCACTTTTATTAGTGTTGCGTTTTTGGCCCAAAACTGTAGAGGGGATGGCTCTTGTTCGTACTATTATTTGGCCGCTTTTTGTTTTTTTTCCCGGGCCGCTTTGATTTTTTCCCGGGCCGCTTGAACTCCCCAGTCCACCACTGTCTGTGGGTTCACTTGTCCGTGGGTTCACTTTTCATGGGTTCGGTTGTCTTGGGTTCAGTTGTCGTAGGTTCACCTGTCGTGCGTTCAGTTGTCCGGCCCACCGGTAACGCTATCCTATCACCTATCGAGTAACGGAATCAAACTGGGATCGGGATGGATCTTGACCAAACTTAGTACACATTTACTTGATTATCCATATTCAAATACCGAAGGATACTGATTTCATAATATCAATTTCGGGGGGGGGGGGGGGGGCGGCATTTCATTTTTGCCTTATATCAACTATAAAATATCAATAGGCTTAATACTCCTACATGAATGGGTGGATCTTGACCAAACTTATTACACATACACATGATCATCCATATTCAAATATCGAAGGATACTGAACTCACAAGGTCCATTTCTCTGGGGCCGAGGGCCCCAGTTAATTTTTCCTTCCATAAGCTATATGAATATCAATAGGGTAAGACAACGGTTTAGGTTCTGTATGAAGTTATGGATCTATAGCCAGCTTTGTTCATTACGCTTCTTAGTGGATTTAAAACTAATAAATATAAGAAGAGAAGAAGATGTAATCTAGAATTTTCCAGAAAGTTCAATAATTTTAAAAAGCAATATCTATGGCATATTTTAATCGATTTTAAAAGGACAAATTTTAATTCTATAATTTAACTGAATTATTTTTATAGCCCCCCCCCCCCACCTCAGACATAACTAAAAAAAGGTACTTTATTAAATAAGCCCCTATTTTAATTTAAATGTACAATAGTTATAGTAGTACAAAGTAGTTGTAGAATATTTCGTATTTGAAAAATAATTACTTAGAAAAGTAATTTTTTACAAGTTTCATGGAGCATTTTAAATTAAATTTAGAATTTTCTAGAAGGTTCTATATTGTTCTAAGGCAGTGGTTCTCAACCTTTTTAATGCCGCGACCCCTTTATACAGTTCATAATGTTGTGGCGACCTCCAACCATACAATTATTTTCGTTGCTTCTTCATAACTGTAATTTTGCTTCTATTATGAATCGTAATGTAAATATCTGATATGAAGGATGTATTTTCATTGTTACAAATTGACCATATTAAAGCATAGTCATTAATCACA